GCCGGGAACAGAAAAAGTCCTTTGCAAGTCTAGCAAGCTGGGTGCCAGGGCTCCCTCAGGAGCACAGAGCTGACAGTAACAGTCTGTCTAGCTTATCATTATGGAGGGTAAGATGTTAGAAGAGACGTGTACACCATTGTTGCAAAATGTGTTTTATTTTTTTTTTTAACAGTTTTGTTTTGTATCTACTGTTAAAATAGGCTGGTGTTAAGAAAGCTGTTTTATCATGGAATATTACTTGCAAGGACTCCAAATTGAAAAAATATATTTGTCCAAACTCCGAGCTGCTGGGCAAATGTGGCTGAAATGCAGTACTGTAATCTTGAGCCTAGTATAAGAATTCTGCCCTAGGGTAGGTAAAAGCACAAGAGCTGTCACCTGAGGAAAAAGATTCAGAGCCTAAGAAAATGGTATAGCAGACCCTGTAACCATCATAAGTAGGTATATATACTCTAGTGCATTCTTAAAATCATTTTGGTAAAACCAAAATAATAGAATTAAGATTACAGACTAACATTAATGTACAATTCATGTTGCTTTGCACCATAAAGTAGGGATGGGGACGTCTTAGCACATAGGATAAGACTGTAGATCTTTCTTGTTGCAGATTTTTTTTCTTTTTAGAGCAACTTTCCTTATTTTGTTTATATGTGATCTCATGCCAGTTGTTCAACTAGATAAAGAAAGAACAAACAACGTTTAAGTGACCAGTAACTTGCAGAAGTTCCCGTTAAGTAATACTGCTTTCTTAAAACATATAAACTCCTGTTGTGCTATATGGCACATGCACAGGAGATGAAGCAGTTGGTATTAAATTACTGTAAAAATGCACAGTGGGAAATTATCTGCATATAGTTTCACATCAGGGGAACTGCAGGGAGAACCATACAGTACAGAAAAACTCACAGATTCTCAACAGATAGTAGTCACCAGCATGAGACTGGAGGCCAGACAGTCAGGACTACAGGTAGTTCTCGGACTTATGACATAATTGGTTCCTAAAAACTGTGTCTTAAGCCTAAATGTTGCAACTCGGAACCATTTTTCCCATAGGAAACAATGTTATAAATGGGGATTGGTTCCTGAACAAAGGCCCAATACCCAATTTTCACCAAAAATAACCCAGAATGTTGTACTTAATCAATTATAGATGAATAATATAACTACATTAATGTATTTATATTGTAAATAGCAATCATATTGATTTGGAAGGACTTCTTTGAGGTGACTTTGCTGGACTTTTTGAAGGGCTCTTGGTTGGACTGTGTGAAGGGTTCTTGGCTGGAGTCTTCTCAGGAGTCTTGGCTGCAGGTTATTCTGGAGTCTTGTCTGGTTTCTTAAAGAAAGTGTCCAAGGAAGTTTGGACAGATGTTCTCCAGGGAGATGGGTGACACAGCAAACTTGTTCGCTGATGTGGCATCACGTCAGATCGAGCACTGTAAAGTCGAAACTGATGTCATGAAGTTGAAACAGGGTGTCAATTTATAAACTTAAGTGCGAAATATTGTAACTCGAAACGTTGTAAGTTGAGGGCTGTCTGTATGCAGCTTCTCAAAGGTACAGATTTAATAATTTGAGATCCTATCATAAGCCAGTAGCATAGCTCAGGTGGTGTGACTGGGGCAGCTGCCCTGGATGCCAGCTTGAGGGGGAAAAGAACTGCTGCCACCCCAACAGCACAATCATGCCAGCAGTGCCTGGAAGTCACAGCTACCCCAGAAGCCTGCTTCTGTCACAAGTTACTGCTGCTGAGACAAAGGTGGCAGTTCCTGAGCATACAAGGGATAGTTGCACCTTTTTTTTTTTTAACATCTGTGGGCACATCTACATGAGACGCAATGTCACTGTAGCAATGCAATGTGGCGACACAGTTCATCGTATGGCAACGTATCATCAGTGGGCACAAACCGTGATGTCAATGCTACATCGCCGTAGTGGCAAGCTATCTCACTATAGTGCATTGCTATGGTGATGTAGCTGGGGGGGGGGGGGGGGAGGGAGGAGGGAGAGGCATGTGTAGACGTGCCCTGTATGTAAGTAACCAAAGAGCAGTACAAGAATTTACTTCATAAAAATTCCCAAGCTGAGCCTTCCACTGACACCTCTGCATAACACAACTGCAGCATAGACATTTTCTGTGCTGCCAGCAAACTGTGTATTAGCTATTTCCAATGAGCTTCTAGCCAACACATCAACTGCTCCATATCCAGGGGGTTGCGCCTATGACAGATGGCAGGTTCCAGCATTCTGATTTGTTTGCACCTCTCATCTCTCTATGCAGGAGACACATGTCTGTGGCAGGAGACAACACACACAGTTCTTAAAAATTGCTAAAGACAGCATGAGATTCTATTTTTTTTTTTGGTAAAGAGATGGAAATTGTGATTTATGATACTCTTATATGTATTAAGTGCTAAGAAAGCATTATCTTGTTATAAACAACAGAATCAAATTAATTTGCACTGCAACAAAGGAAAACAGTTCATATGCATTTATTTGAGATAAAGAAGTATGAATGTCATAAGCATTATTCATATTGTACATTATTACATAAATGGCTATTGTTAAACAAAAGCAGATGTTACATATGCATTCTATTTTTTCCTGTGTTTGTATTTAGGAGGTACACTGGAAATTGAAAAAAGGAAAATTGGAAAAATGATGTCAGGACATCACACACACTGACTGATTCTGTAGTTGATCACCTATAGGGACAACAGTTCATTCATACTGCATACTGTCAACTGCAGGATCTGACACTATCAGCATTAGTCCACATCTCTGAATATTTTTTTTGTCAGTAGTGAGATGAGAACGCACTAGAGACATTATGAACATTTGCCATGGGAATGCTGACTAGAATAGAATATTTTTGAAGTTTTCTAACCAGCATTTTCTTATAATGTTTGCCAAAATACTGGTAAATCAGAAGAAAATATTCTAATTAGCACTGTTCTTTTTTTTCTTTTCATTGAAATTCTCAAGATGGGATTTCTCAAACAACATGCTTTTTATTCAATTGATTTTAGGTGGAGAAAAACTGTACAGTAAATTAAGCAGTTCTGGACTCAACAGTTGAACAACATAGAAGCTCTACATATCCCTTTCTAGTCCCTCATTTCGTGATGCAATGTGGTATTTCAGTGCATTCTACATGACAAAAGAAAAATAACCCCTGCTTTTAATTATTTCTGTGACCGCATTGAAACATAAAAAATACTGTTTTGTTTCTACTAATTTGTCTGGGTTTGAAGCGCACCACTTATTTTAACCTGTATCTAGCAAAGCTCCCTCTGCTACTGTTCTGCTTTCATGGAGAGATTGTTCCTACTGATTAGTTTTACATTCAAACATTCTCAAGAGTGATGTTACATCGAGCATGTCAGCATGTTAGTTTTGAGGTTAACTGTAAAAACAGTGAAGATATTTTAAAATATTATTGCTTTATTCTGATGCAAAAATAATTTAGAGGGGATAAAAATAACAAATAGAATTGTGCTTCATTGGTCACTACTCATTTATGGTCTTGTTCAACTAAAAATCATCTTACACAACATTGACATCTACAGATAGAAGGTTATGGAGGCTTGCAGCTTCCAAAGCCTTATATAATCCTAAATTATTTGTTATTTATTTCTAAAATTGAATTTCATTACTATCCCAAAGTATTGAGGTATTTACATTTGTTATTGTAACATTTTGCAATTGGCTGTTGCTTTGTGCTACTGCATGCACTCCTTGTTCTGTGGTTTAAAAATAATATCCGGACGGAATTTACATTTTTTTCAGGTGCTGCATGCTAGCAAGCCAAATAGCAACATTTTCTACCCAATGCCACACCTACTTTACATAAAAGTGCGCTGTTAATAAGAAATATATAAATTCATAGTCTGAAATAAAGATATCCTTCAACCTGTAGGGACAACGGAAATAAAATCTACCCTGTTCATTATATAGCACTGTATTACCTAACAAGATAATGTTACTATTTTGCCACATTTTTTATTATAGTATACATAAGACATCACAAAATCAGTAGACTATTACATGAAATCAGTAAGACTGACAGCATTTGGCCATTATAGACCCACATAGTACCTCTCATGTAAAACTATAATTCACATTATACCGTGTCACAGCTGCTATTGATAATTTTATTATTTTTAAATGACAGTTTTGCTGGCTCATAAGGACTTACACTTCTACACTCAGCATGTAATTGTTGTGCTACACAAAGCATATTTTCATCTCTGATTTAAACATAAGCTTCATTCAATACTCATTATCTGAAAGCAAATTCATATTGTAGCACAAAGAATTTCCCTCCCACCATATTTTGCTTCATTTTAAATAAAACACTTATCTTAAAATAAATATAAACATAAATATATTTAAAAATACATTATTAAAATGCACTTTTATAGGCAGATGACAGTGTAGGTCATCCCTTAAATAAAATAAACTGTGGAAAAGTGGCTGGAAATACACTTATAGCTAGGTTAGCAAATCGAGTGAAAAAGCCTATATTGGCTAATGCAGGTAAAAGATACAAGATCTACCTATGTGAAGGTGCTTTTCATTCAAGGTATATAGAGAAAGAATAGCTTTAGTTAGATGTTGCAGTTTTTCTTTCTGCTTTTTTATCTCAGCATATCTCGACTCCGAAATTGTTTCCGTAGCTCTCTGAGATGTTTGGTTGTAACAGTCATCACACAAGCATAGTAATCCTTCAAACCATATTTTGGGGGTCCCTGTTAAGAGTGAACAACCACACGATTAGAAATGATACTGTGCACTAAATTCCTTACCACTAGATTCAATTTTACAGGCATTCATACAAACCAGGTACGCTTCTCATTACTATAACACTGAAGAATCGACTCTTCCCACAACATAGAGAAGAGCTATGAATTTAGGTGGACGGAAATAGGGAGTTTCCAGAACTATGTCACTTCTCTTTCCTCAATCCCCACCTCCACCCAACTATATTTATTCAGCCACAGCTTAGTTTACATTCATAGTTACAGAAAAAAGAATATCCTCTGTGTTCAGGAATCTCCTCTTTTAAAGATACATGTCACTATTATTTCTTCATTTTTATAATTCTATCATAAATACATATTTTAACACAGTACAATAAAAACACCAATAATTATTGGTATTTATGGGACCATATTTGGTGTCAACCAATACCATTGATGTAGACAACTGACATACAGTCTTCTTTATACTGTGTTACCTCAATCCTGAACAGTCAGTACTACAGTTCTGTAAAGTTGGCTAGTACCCATGAATGGGAAGGAAGGATAACCCAGTGCTCAGTCAGCAGCCCATCCTGGAACTAAAGAGGGTAGGGTTCAGTTTCTTACTCTGTGCAACAGTGAGCTTAGGACTCCTGTTACTTTAAAAGAGTGAAACTGCAGCAGATGGAGCCCAGGCAGCTGAGCAAGGGTCACTCTTGTGGGTGGCTGGGGAAGGGCATGGATTAGGGAGCATACAAGCCCAGGGCCTGAGACAGGGAAGCCATTCTGGCTTTGCAAACTGAAGGGGAAAGAGCTCCAGGAAAGGAAGGCTGAAGAAGAATTCCTGGCTGATACCTGGGCTACCCTGGGGAAACAGCAAGGAGGATTCTGCTGGCTTGCAAGGGGATACGACTCAGGGTAGAGTGGAGTTTGTGGTACAGCTAAGGAACTAATGTTTTGGTGCAGACTCAGCGTGGAATTGTGTTTTGACCAGAGGACTTTTTCCTTTGTTATAGTTTAAACTGGTGGTTTGGGTGGGGAGTATCAGGGGTGTAGGAAGTCCAGCAGTGCACAGAACAGGGTGGGACAGGGCCAGAGAGTGCCCGAGAAAGCATGGATACCAGGGCCAAGAGGCCCAGAGCCAAAGTAGTGAGATAAAGGCAGGAGCCTTGAAGCGAGGTCCAGTGCACTGGGCCTGGGCTAGAAAGCCCAAAGAAAGGAAAGGGGTGAAGGTCAGGAAGACTGATGCCCAGCAAGAAAGAGTGATTGAATGGCACCATCTGTGAGGCATGGGTGTGGCTACACGGGAGGTCAGAGGCCACAAAATTAGCCCTTAAGGTGATTAGTGCCCTGGGGACACAAACGAGCCAAGAGAGCCCACTTAATGCTTAAGGGGCAGGATTGGGACCAGTGGGGTCTGAACGGGACCTGCTGGTCAGAGACAGACAAAGGCTCAATTTGGAAACTGAGGGCAGCCTTCCCATTCACCCTTCAACTCATTATAATCAAGGTCTGGCAGGAAAGGGAAAAGGAAGGGGACCCAGGGAGCTGGATCACAGCAGGAGTCACAAGGCTATCAGGGGGTGTCACCGGTGCCCCTGGGACCTGGCACTATAGACTTCCTGTGTAATACTGACAAAACATGGACAGTATTACACAGGAATACCTATTCCTTTGTTCCTTATTTCACTAGCATAAATAACGAGGGCTAAAATTGTTTTAACACAAATTAATAGCATAAATAAATTATCAGGGCTAAAATTGTTTTAATTTACATCTGATATCCAGGAAAGGAAGGCTGCAGAAGAATTCCTGGCTGATACCTGGGCTACCCTGGGGAAAAAGCAAGGAGGATTTGTCTTGAGACAAATGATTGGAATGTCAAGGGGACAGACTACCTTACAGGTCACTTTGGTTAAAACAACTATGAAAATTAAAAAAAAATATTGTGGCATCTCAGATATAACAATTTTGGAGTTTATGCAGGTTTCACTATGCCATTTATAAAACTGAAGCATTAGATAGTAAAGCCTGAATTCCACTTGACCTTATTTATTTTCTATTGTATACATAGAAAAGCTTGGAATATTACACAAATATACTAAAATGTTTTCTCCCTCTTAGTAGTTATCTGTTTTTTTTTTTTTTAAGAACAATTAAAATGCAAAGGACAACCACAGTAACATAACATAGCCTGTAAATGAAATAGCAGAAACAACACTTGGGTGAATGCATTATCACCTTGCAAGAGATTTATGGTTACTGTTTAAAAGTGAAAAGAATACATGCATTTCCAAGGAAGTTTGTTGTACTATTTAAAGAAAGTAGACAAATAGATTGCAAACATGCAATGAAAAACACATTAACTGATTTCCTTATTAATGTTTTAATTTTTTTTTCAATTTAACAAATAGGTCCATCATTTATTGTTGGATAAAAATACGTATTTTTAAAAATGCACTAAGCTACACCATCCATGAACTTCTAAAGTATCCATTGCTGCTATATCTATCTAGTCAGTATATTAAATTAAGAGAAAGCACATTTTCCCTTCACAAACACTTTCCAATATTTCCACCCTTTTTAAAATCAGTGTTTCATTTTAGTTCTTGCTTTTTCAGACTGTTTACTTTAAATAGACTCATATTATATAATGACATGCTCCTAGGTCAAATGCCTGATTAAAAAATGGGTCTTACAATGTGTCCTTGAGTGGCAATCCATTGAGAAGTGCCAGGATGAAAAACTACCTTGTCTTATCAGGTAGCCTGCAAATCTAGCACATGTAGATGAAGACAATTTCTTGATGGTGTCTGAAGGTTCCTGATACGGACTTCCCCAGACTGCTTCAATGAAGCCCCCTGCAACTTAGGGGATGTTTTCATAAGAAAAAAGTCAGCATAACTGTGGCATCTAATGTGGAGGCATGCACTACCTTTATATTAGCTACCATACATAACTATAGTAGTGAAGATGTAGTTATACATGCTTCAGTTGCCGCCAGCAACCTCAGTACATACCCAGAACACTTGTTTGGGTTGCTAGCTCATTCTACAACGACTTCACCATTCACTATTATTTTAACTCCTGCTACATCAATTAAAGCGACTTGTGCTATGCCTAAGTATCTCATACTTACAAGTCTTCTTGATCTAGAGACATCCTAGGAGAGGAGTTTGACAGGTGGTACACCTTTCAAAGTATTATTCCTAGCCATTCACTAACATACAACTTACAACATGGAACACATTCAGCACTGATATCCACACATTCTCTGCAATCTTAGGAGTTCATTAGGGCAGTGGTTCTCAACCTTTTTTGTACCAGGATCCATTTGTAAACATCCATGGCCAGTCTCGACTCAGCACCCCTTATTGCTGACTGACTGCCTGGAACTCTGCCAGCCTGCAAGTGGAAAGCCACAGCCTTTAATGGAGAATCCATTTTTAAAGTTTGTCTGTGACCCTTTCATATATTCTTGAGACCCACTTTTGGGTTGCGACCCATGGGTTGAGAAATGCTGCATTAGGGACTGTAGGGAACATATAATCTGCTAGGGATTCCTTATTTTTAATCAATAGGATATAACTGTCAAAAAACTTCTATACCATTTCAACCCAATATCAGAGCTATGGCACCACTGTTAAGCTAGCCATAAACTCTTGAAACAGCTTAATTAGTAGATAAATGAACTGACAGACAGATGGAGAAGTAGAGGCTGGTTTCTCAGTTTCCATGCATTTTCATTCTCTGAAACAAACTGAATCTGCAGAAAGTATTAGAGAATGACTCCATTTCTTCTGTTACTGGTTTCAGGGACAAAAGTATACATGAAGCAGGAATTAGAGCTAAGAGAACTACAATTGGATATCATTCTGAATCTCTCTTTTCTATTTTTTCAGTATTAAACTACTCCAAATGTTAGTACCACTTATTCTGTACCAAAAATTCTGGATCCAAGCTTCAGCTTTTGTAAGTCAGCATAGCTCCACTTCGTTCAGTAGAATTATGTTCATTTTTACCTGAGGACTTGGCATATTGTAAGCTTGTTAACATCCCTACTGTGGCAAGTTCTGGAACTAAGGGGCCTGTCTCGGACGGCCAAAGCCGACTCGAAGTGATTTAATAATTACTCGTTCGTTGGGCGGGCTGGTGAATAGAGGGGCGGACAAGGCTTTAATGGTTGCAAAAAACTTTACTTACGCCGCTTGTAGCTGCGACGCAGACGGTCTGGTCGTCTGAACAACTATGTTAGTTGTTCCAGCTGGCAAGGCTCAGGCTAGCTCATCCATCCACAAATCAAGCCGGCGGGGCAAGGGTACGTCGGGGATTGCGCTCGGCGACGGGGAGAAGAATCGATAGGTGATCAGTCTATCGATCAGCTCAGCCACAAGTCAGATCTCTTCAGAGGCACTCTGCAGCGTGCTCAAAGTTCTACGACTTGGGCGGAAGTCGCACGAAATTTTAAACGGCCAGCAAGCCAATTACTAGCCGCCACGTAGGAATAATTTAGAACTGGCCAATAGCGGGACACAAATTTGCATTCGAATGGCGGGAACTCTCTTGCACCGGGGTTTTCTGCTGCAACAGAAAACCTTTTACTTTGCAAGAGGCTCTCATGTGGCGGGAAAATTCCATCGTGCCGAGGCACCAAAATCACTGGGTTGTGACATGCCCCCTTGCCGACGGCACAACTGGAATTTTAGACACATGAGCACATCATACGGCATCCTTGCTTCAGGATTTACTAACCTGGCAAAGCTTTAACAACCTATATATATATATATAAACAAACAATTTGATAGACCGGTCTTCTTAACAAACTATAAAATATAATAACTTGAACATGTAACAACAACCATTGATCATCGTCTGATCGGAGAACATCTGCTTGGGACTCCCCTCGGTCATCAGTCAGTCCGTCTTTTCCCATAACAGACAATGTCAATCAAAACACCCAGTGAAAATGAGACAGAACAGCGCCACAGCAAGTCCTGAGCGGATGGACA